CATTTCCAATGGCAGCTACATCTTATTACATTCTTTCTTAACTGAGGAGTTTGGTTAATATTTCCCCATACAATTCCAATTTCAAGAGAGATTATAAATGGCATCCACTTAAGTAGAACCCAGTTAGTAGAACCTTGGCCTGTAATCAGGCCGTACCACTCAGGGAGGGAAAGACGAACATGGCAATCCTACAGAGCAGTACCCAAAAGAATTTCTGCTGTGAACACATTTAAAAAATGAAAAAATGTGCTGCTATTTTATAATTTAAATTGTAAACCATTAAATATCCTCCGCCTGCTTACTCTGAGAAATAAATTTCCACTCCAGGAAATTAGCGAATTTCCAGGTGTTACTACACTGATGTTTTCATTATCTCCTCCCATGGTAAATAGATAGGTACATCACTCACATCAGATGAGGCTCCTGCACAAAAGGGCTCTCAAATATGACAAGCAGCCAGAGTTACGGAAGATTTCAGGGACCCCAGGGCTTGCCTCAGAGCAGTACCAGGTGCCGGGAAGCTGCTACAGGTGAAGAACCATGCCTCTATCTCGCTGCCAGAAGGAAGGTCAAAGATTTAGGGTTCCAGGTAGCTTGAAAACCTCCTGAGAGGAGCATCGGTATGGCTCAAGAATCAGTAGCATGAAGTACTTGCTCAGTAAATATTTACTGATTCGGCACTAGTGGGCATAAATTAGCCAGCCAGAGTCCCAGGTCTGCGCCAGAATATATTTCACATTTGGGTTCCTGGGGTCTCCTGGTGTGGTTTTGAGCTTCTCAGGCAGTCCCTGGTGCAACCTCACACCATTCCAGTAAGCAGAGGAGCCCTGTGTGGTTTACAATTTAAATCTCAGGAGCATGGCCCCATGGATAGGACCACAGCAGGAAATGGCAAGGAGCTCAATCAATCTCCCTCCTCTCCACTGCCACACAAATGGTCTTCTACATTATTTCTTTTCCCAGGTTTTACAAAGAGCAGCAATTGAAGTCAATGAAAAAGGAACTGAGGCATTGGTGGGAACCCTGTCAGAAATTATTGCTTATTCCATGCCTCCCATCATCAAAGTAGACCGGCCATTTCACTTTCTGATATATGAAGAAACCTCTAGAATGCTTCTGTTTCTGGGCAGGGTGGTGAATCCAACTCTCCTATGATTAAGGATGTGCCTAAGTACTTAGTGCTACAGCAGATGCTGAATCTGAGGTATTTGAACCCACATAATCAGTCTACTGACACCGGGTGACAAAAGAGTGTCCCCTTTGTCCTCGGCTAGTTTGAGCCATTAGACAATCCTCAATATTAAATTCAAATTTGTGTTTGTACGATCTGCCTGGTATGCTAAGCCTGTTTCTAAGAGCCTTTATTACCGACTAAAGACTAGTGTGGTAGAATATCTTGACCCTTCTCTGTTACTCACGTATCTAGACTTGAAAAGATGGTAGATCCGCACACTACTTAAAGGTGAGGTCTTTGGAGAGGACACATCCACCATGAGTCATGCGCTTCACTCCCTTCACTTCCCTCTGGTGCAAAATAAGTATTTTATCTCAATGTGTTAAGGAATCATTTATTGCTGACAAAAATTAGAAGAAACAGCTATCATCAGCCTGATCACAGCATCTGCTTTGATGCAGCCCCATCCACCCCACGGTGCAACAAACCACTGGGTGGGGGCATTAACTGAGCCATAGGTCAAGTTCAATACCTTCACTTTACAAAGGAAGGAAACGGGGCACCAGAGATAGGGTCACACTATGACGTTTATGGGCCCCAGGCACTTAAGCCTTCCTCCATAAAAAAATATACATGTATATTTAAAAACTTTTACAACTGCACAGACACACACTCTCACACACACCATAACAACTGATGACTGAGTTGATCCAATTCGTTTATCTTTGCTATAAAATTCCTACTTGACCCAAAGGTCACATTCAACTTCAGTTCGAAGAGCTCACACGTGCCCACTAACTCACTGCAAAGTGGACACGTCCTCCCAGAGGAAGAGGTCTGAGCTCGGGAAGTCAGATGATGGAAATGAGTTTTAAATGTGTATGACATGATAGAAGAAAACCTGTCTATGCTTCTCTCTTTTATAGTCCTATCTCCAGGTCTACCAGTAAAATTGAGTTCTACAAGTCTGATTTTTTTTGCTTGTAATTCTAATTTGTGAGATTCTAGAGCTGTCTTTAAAAACACAAGTTTCCATAATTAACAATAGACAGAGATGTCCCTATATCCCTAGAGCTACACATGGAGGGAGATATTTCTTTGTCATATAACTAGCTTAAAGGTCTAATGTGATATGTTGTTAAACCGAGAACTTTTACAAGAGTGTATCAATCTTGTTTCTGGTGTAAACACACTTGTTTCTATGAATGTGTGGATATTCATAACTGCCATCAATTTGTTTTTTACTGTTTTTATATATCCGTCCTTGGAAAAATAATTTTAATAAATATGGCAACAATTTTAGAATTTCGTTCTGTGAAAAAAAAAGAAAACTTCCAAAGTAATTTTGTTGAACTGTCTTAACTGATAATTCAGCGAGTAGGAGTGAGACCGCAGCTGACTTCTGTATATTCTGAATCCCATAAGCAGTAGCGATGTTACTTTCTCAAATCACTTTCTTCTTCTCCTGCATGCATGATAGGAAGTAAAAGCTCCTGACTCTGCTAAATTTATTACTGAACAAACGAAATTAAACTCTCCACTTTATTTCAAGCATCAGAGTCATGCTGACAATAAATCAAAGCTGGAAAAACTGATAACACTTTGATGGTCCCATTAATACCACAAACGGTCTCTCTACACCATAACGTATTCAATTCCAAGTTAGTGATGTTAGCAGAAGACGACATGAAAATAGTTAAATCAAATTCACAAAGAATGTACGAAATTCATTTAGCCAGCGTGGTCCAGTTTCTCAGACCTATGCAGTTTTTAACTACTCACAAAACAAGTAGTTGAAAAATTCCATTTGCCTGATTGTCCTTAAATGAAAGATACTAAGAATCACTAAAAATAATCAAAAAGAGGCCTTACAGAAGGAAAAGGGGAAACAAGTGGCATGGAAAAGTCTCACACTGAGTAGCTGTCCCCTGAGTAATTTATATTTACTGAGAAGCTCTTTACTAATTACTTAAGAACTTACTCTTTAATTAAAGAATAAAAACTGCAGGAAATATGTAAAACTTTTTTCACAAACACAGGTATCTCACTAACCTATGTTTTATTTTGAGTAAATTCATTATTCATTATTTCACATTATAAAAAGTAACCACACACTCATATGCATTCACAAATTAGATCATCTTTATCATACATCAATAAATTTTAAAAAACAAATATTTTCTATTATCAATATACTTATATGCTGATAGCATTTTGAAATAGAGAAGCTGACAATAGCTTCATACGGTATATCTCAAGAACTGACATTTTAAAATTAAGAACTGTATATGTTCCACAGGCAGATTTTGATGGAAATATTAGCATAAGTACAAATAAATGCTGTTGACATAGCTTAAGCATGATAGCTTGGAGTAACAGCTAATTTAAACTGGATTCATCATTTTAAAGTAAGTAAGGACAAACACAATGTAAAATGTAAACAAAGTATTTATAAAATAAATTCTGTGAAATAAAGGAAATCATCCATCTGTTATTTTTAAGGTTATAGATAAAAGTTATCAGAAACTGTCGTATTTTCATTGTCAAATTTAAATTTCAGAATATCCAAGCACAACATATTGTTACCACAATCGTAAGACTGATAAAATTGTGGGCACCTGTTTGTACCCTTCTCAGTGTGACTTTTCAATTGGGCTTGGAGATTGGTGACAAAATGCAATGTCTTTCTTACTCCCAAGACCCCCTCCAAGTGATTATCCAGCAAAAGCCATTTCAATTGATTTGGACTTTCATATAATTTTTAAGTGTTAGAACTCTAGGACAATTAAGTAGACAGCTTCCATTAAACAGAGGCTTCCTGCACAAATAAACACAGACGGGTCTCTGAGCAGCAGCTGGGTAAAGCGCATACCTAAAGGCGGTTTTCATTAATACTTCACTGTGACATTGGGATCCTGTACCACATTATTATTCAAGGAATACATATTCTACCTCCTAGGGAATCTAATTTCAAATACGGAAAGTTTAACATCAGCTGCCATTACGTCTGTCTTTTTCATTCATTTAAAAAAAAAAAAGCCCCAGCCATTGCTTTAGCTTTTGTCCATCAATCACATTATCTCCAGTCGTCTTTGTTTTGCCTCCTTCAACAAGCAGATGACTTAAGGATTGGATTTTCTTGATTTTCTTTGTCAAGAAAGAGAGAAGAAAGGAAGGGAAGGTACGAGAGAGAGAAGAGAGAAAGGAAGGAAGGAGAGAATAAAAGAAGGAAGGAGAGAAAAAAATAAAGCATAAAAATTTTTATCCATATGATACTTATAAAGTAATTAAGTATAATCTACTTTGAATAAGCCTAATATATGAGAATTCTGAGTAAGAGAAAAAATGAATTATGTATTATGCTTACTTGGAATTACCTCTAATTACCAAATCTTATGTGCAGCTAAAATAGCATTCCATTCAATTCATAGAACTTTTCCTACTTTTTTTGTATAGTCATAATGGAAATTAACATAGACCTAATACATCATAAGGCCTATAAAACTGGCCTTAAAAGACATGAGATATGATGCATTCCTGTACTTCCTTTAAGACACCGGTATTCCCAAATACTCCATGTATCATCCCTATGATGCTGGAAAGTTAGAGAAAATTGCATAGAATTTTTTTCTGGAAAAGCAAAACTAAGATACTCAATACTTTCTGAAATCATTTCACAGGCTTATTCTGAGTAACAAACAGGTATTTCCATTTGAATATGGGGCGACTGAATTGTGGGTAACACTTCACAGAACAAAGAGCAATGTAGATCTCAATCACCTACTCCAGCTAAGAGCAGTGTGCAATTCTCCTGCATGCATGATAGGAAGTAAAAGCTCCTGACTCTGCTAAATTTATTACTGAACAAACGAAATTAAACTCTCCACTTTATTTCAAGCATCAGAGTCATGCTGACAATAAATCAAAGCTGGAAAAACTGATAACACTTTGATGGTCCCATTAATACCACAAACGGTCTCTCTACACCATAACGTATTCAATTCCAAGTTAGTGATGTTAGCAGAAGACGACATGAAAATAGTTAAATCAAATTCACAAAGAATGTACGAAATTCATTTAGCCAGCGTGGTCCAGTTTCTCAGACCTATGCAGTTTTTAACTACTCACAAAACAAGTAGTTGAAAAATTCCATTTGCCTGATTGTCCTTAAATGAAAGATACTAAGAATCACTAAAAATAATCAAAAAGAGGCCTTACAGAAGGAAAAGGGGAAACAAGTGGCATGGAAAAGTCTCACACTGAGTAGCTGTCCCCTGAGTAATTTATATTTACTGAGAAGCTCTTTACTAATTACTTAAGAACTTACTCTTTAATTAAAGAATAAAAACTGCAGGAAATATGTAAAACTTTTTTCACAAACACAGGTATCTCATTAACCTATGTTTTATTTTGAGTAAATTCATTATTCATTATTTCACATTATAAAAAGTAACCACACACTCATATGCATTCACAAATTAGATCATCTTTATCATACATCAATAAATTTTAAAAAACAAATATTTTCTATTATCAATATACTTATATGCTGATAGCATTTTGAAATAGAGAAGCTGACAATAGCTTCATACGGTATATCTCAAGAACTGACATTTTAAAATTAAGAACTGTATATGTTCCACAGGCAGATTTTGATGGAAATATTAGCATAAGTACAAATAAATGCTGTTGACATAGCTTAAGCATGATAGCTTGGAGTAACAGCTAATTTAAACTGGATTCATCATTTTAAAGTAAGTAAGGACAAACACAATGTAAAATGTAAACAAAGTATTTATAAAATAAATTCTGTGAAATAAAGGAAATCATCCATCTGTTATTTTTAAGGTTATAGATAAAAGTTATCAGAAACTGTCGTATTTTCATTGTCAAATTTAAATTTCAGAATATCCAAGCACAACATATTGTTACCACAATTGTAAGACTGATAAAATTGTGGGCACCTGTTTGTACCCTTCTCAGTGTGACTTTTCAATTGGGCTTGGAGATTGGTGACAAAATGCAATGTCTTTCTTACTCCCAAGACCCCCTCCAAGTGATTATCCAGCAAAAGCCATTTCAATTGATTTGGACTTTCATATAATTTTTAAGTGTTAGAACTCTAGGACAATTAAGTAGACAGCTTCCATTAAACAGAGGCTTCCTGCACAAATAAACACAGACGGGTCTCTGAGCAGCAGCTGGGTAAAGCGCATACCTAAAGGCGGTTTTCATTAATACTTCACTGTGACATTGGGATCCTGTACCACATTATTATTCAAGGAATACATATTCTACCTCCTAGGGAATCTAATTTCAAATACGGAAAGTTTAACATCAGCTGCCATTACGTCTGTCTTTTTCATTCATTTAAAAAAAAAAAAGCCCCAGCCATTGCTTTAGCTTTTGTCCATCAATCACATTATCTCCAGTCGTCTTTGTTTTGCCTCCTTCAACAAGCTGATGACTTAAGGATTGGATTTTCTTGATTTTCTTTGTCAAGAAAGAGAGAAGAAAGGAAGGGAAGGTACGAGAGAGAGAAGAGAGAAAGGAAGGAAGGAGAGAATAAAAGAAGGAAGGAGAGAAAAAAATAAAGCATAAAAATTTTTATCCATATGATACTTATAAAGTAATTAAATATAATCTACTTTGAATAAGCCTAATATATGAGAATTCTAAGAGAAAAAATGAATTATGTATTATGCTTACTTGGAATTACCTTTAATTACCAAATCTTATGTGCAGCTAAAATAGCATTCCATTCAATTCATAGAACTTTTCCTACTTTTTTTGTATAGTCATAATGGAAATTAACACAGACCTAATACATCATAAGGCCTATAAAACTGGCCTTAAAAGACATGAGATATGATGCATTCCTGTACTTCCTTTAAGACACCGGTATTCCCAAATACTCCATGTATCATCCCTATGATGCTGGAAAGTTAGAGAAAATTGCATAGAATTTTTTTCTGGAAAAGCAAAACTAAGATACTCAATACTTTCTGAAATCATTTCACAGGCTTATTCTGAGTAACAAACAGGTATTTCCATTTGAATATGGGGCGACTGAATTGTGGGTAACACTTCACAGAACAAAGAGCAATGTAGATCTCAATCACCTACTCCAGCTAAGAGCAGTGTGCATCCATGAAAAAGTCCCGACCAGAACCACATTATATGGAAATACAGTTATGGCTTATATATCCAATCACACAATCAGCTGTGATACCAATATTCCTCCTTCAGAATATTCAGAATAGAAGAAACAATGTAATTTGTTAGCAAAGTGCGTGTTTCTAGATTCATTTTTTTAAAACATCAATTATATACAGATAACTGATTAATATTATATATATTGAACAAGAGGAAATTCAGTCTATAAAAAAGGAAAAATATGCTCAACAATGAAAGAACAGATGAAGATAGTAATCTGAAAATTAGGAGTGTTGGCATAAATATTAGGTTTCAATGGTCTTTATATTAAAAAATGTCTATGACTTTTAGAAAAATACGTTGACAAGAGAATGAATTCCATTCTGATGTTATTAAATATGTTCTTTAGTAAAAGAATTCTGGGGCTATCTTTTAAGAGGAAGACTGTCTAGGGTGATAGGGAGGGAGGATCTCAAGATGCCAGAACTGGAAGGTTCCCTGGGGGATGAACCATGAGTCAAGCCTGCCATTTACAGACGGGCGCTGTGAGGTCCAGTTGCTGAGCTGAACGGCAGGCAGCTACTTAGATGCTACTAGAACCAGAGCACAAGGCCCCAGCTCTGTGCTCTCTATAGACCATTAACTTATCCTGCTTCTATTCTCATAACTTTCAAGAGGAACTCACATAGTATAATCATTACAGCAGTAATTGTATGGGCAAAGAGTCATCTCTGTAAATAAAAGTACCCTTTTTGTTAATGCTGGTAATTTGTAATATCAATATTGCCTTTTCTATTTACTATTACTTTTTCTGTTGTATAGTCCTATTCTTTCCTTGAACTCCATTCAATAAATTTGTTTCTAATTTTTTAATGCATTTTGAATACATCTATATTTGTATATGTCAACAGCCAATTCAATTCAGAATAAATTACAGTACAGTTTGATTCCTAAAGGGACTCCTACACAGAGTTTCTGCAAAATGGTGCATTTGAGAAATGTTATTGGAAAATATTCATGAATTAAGTGAAACATGTTTAAAATAAAATTTAAATCCTATTTAAATTCTGTTCTAATCAGAAGGTTCAGGCATCCTGTATGAAAGCATAAACCTGTAACAGCAGTTTGGGCATCCTGACTGAATCACTTCTGCCTTGATCTGATCTCTCATCTTGGTGATGTTTATGGTACTACACTTTCATCAAATGTTTACACTAAGAGAAAGGCTTCAACAATTCAAACAAGATATAAGTAGCACATAAAAAAGAACCACAGGAAGAGGGGAGTAGAGGCCCTTCATAACCACAACTTTCAGGCACAAATACAGTCTGTAGAAACCTCCAGTTGACTGGACCCACAGCTCTCGAATAGTATTTCTCAAATGCCATCATTGTACCATCTTTCTGAGCCGTGGGCAATTAAATACTGTGCACATAAGCTAGCTGTTTAAAGGATGCAATTATACCCCATGTCTTCTCTGAGATTAATTCCCTGAATGCAAACATTTCACAGAAAAATTAATTTATCTCATATATTATTGGGAGCCATTTCAAGTTTCTGGTTGATTCCCTAAGGTTATAATGTCTGCCATAAACAACCTTACATAAAGCATCTAACAAAACAGAGGCACATGTGATAATAATCCCTTTTAATTTATTACATTTCCTCCTTACAGACACTTCCTACTCTTTGGAAAGCATTTAAGTCAGAAGGAAAGCACACTGAGAATGAGTAGATACACAGTTAGCATCGCAGCTCTGGATTACTTACAAGGTAGCCTTCCGTGGCTGTGAATCTTTACTGCCACTGTTCTTTGGATCAGCTGAGGTGCCTGCCCCACGGGAGGTGCTCGGTAAGGGAGAGCTGGGAGAAAATGAAGTCGAAGCACTACTGGCATTACGAGTCCGGAATGAATCATCTGAAAGGAACGCAAGTATCGTCAGACGTATTGAATATACTAACAAAGATGGTAACCAAAGAAAAGAAAGGTTAATGATAGCTGACATTTTTTCCTTCTAAATCAGTTTTGAGGCAAAATTTATATATAATAAGCTACATACATTTAAGGTTTTGACATATGACATGTGTATACACCCATGAAGTCATCACCATAATCAAGAGCGAACACACCAGTCACTACCAAATACGTCTGCCCTGTTGGGACCCCACGCTCCACTCTCTAGGCAACCACTGATCGCCTCCTGTCGCAACAAATCAGTTTGCATTTCTAGAATTTTATATAAATTAAATCATACAGAACGTACTCTTTTTTCTTTCTGGCTTCCATTCAGCATAATTACACTGAGTTCATCCATGGTGTGGTGTGTATCGATACTTCATTCATTTTTATTGCTGACTGGTGTTCTGTGGCATGGATATGCCAAACTTTGTTCATCCATTCTTCTGTTGATAACATTTGGATTTTTTTTCCAGCTTTTGACTATTACAAATAAAGCTGCTATGTACAATCATGGACAAGTCTATGTGAGCATATGTTTTAATCTCTCTTCAGTGAAATTCTAGGAGTGGAATTGCTGGACCACGTATAGTGATATTTAACTCCATAAGAAACTGCCAAGTTGTTGTCCAAAGTGGTTGCACCATTTTGCATCTCCCCCAACAATGTACAAGAGTTCTGGAGAACATCCTCATACACGCTTGATATTGTGAGCCTTAGTTTTAATTTTAGATATTGGAGTAGGTATGAAGTGCTTTCTCCTTGTTTTTTTTCCTTGTTGTTTTAATTTGTCTTTCTCTAATGATTACTGATGTTAAGCATCTTTCCATGTACTTATTTGTGTATCTTTTGTGAGCTGTATGTTCAAATATTTTTCCATTTTTAAATAGTTGCTTAATTTGCTTAATTATAATACAAATGTTTTCTCCCAATCTGTGTCCTGCACTTTTTAATGCTCTGTTTCAAAGCACAGAAGTTTTAAGTTTTGATGAAGTCCAATATGTTAATGTTTTCTTTTATGGTTTAGAGAAACCTTTGTCTATTCCAAAATCACAGACTTCTGTATTTTCTTCAGAAATGTTATTGTTTTAGCCTTTAGGCTTAGGTTTATCACATGTATTGAGATAATTTTGTATACAGTGAGATAAGAACTGACATGCAGTTTTGGTTATTTTTAAAAATACATATATCAAATTGTTACAGCATCATTTTTTAAAAATACAATCCCATCACCATTGATTTATCCTGGAGCCTTTGTTGAAATTCAACTGACTGTACATGTCAGTGTAGGTCAAATGGTGCTGATTACTGGATCTTTACAGTAAGTGTTGAAATTAGGTAATTTGAGTTCTCTAAATTTCTTTTCGTTTTTCAGAACAGTTTTGGCTGTATTCAGTTCTGTGCATTTTGATATATATTTAGAATCAGCTTATACATTTCTACAAAAAGATTGTTAAATTTTTTTATCAGGATTACATTATGTCTTTGGATCAATTTTAAAAGAATTGACATAACAATATTGTTTTCCAATCCATAAACATGGTATCTCTCTCCATTTATTTAGGTTTTCTTTCTTTTCATTCAGCAATGTGTTGAATATTTTGTTAAATTTATCCCTGAGCACTTAATGTTTTTTAAAGTTACTGTAAATGTTATTTTTTAAAACTTAAATTTATAGAAAAACTGACTGGACGGTACAAAGAATCTCCACTTTCCCCTATTATTAACACTTTACACTAGTAGGCTATCCTTGTTAGAATTAATGAGTCAACAGTAATACATTATTACTAACTAGAATCCATAGTCCATAGTGTTCAGATTCCTGAGTTTTACCTAATGTCTGTTTCTATCTCAGGATCCATGCAGCACAACATCTTACATTACTGATCAGGTCTCCTTATGCTCCTCTTGGCTGTGACAGTTTCTTAGCCTTTCCTTTTTTTGATAACCTCAAAGAGTTTTGAGAGACACTGGTCTAATACTTTGCAGGTTGCCCCTCTAGTAGAATTTATCTGATTTATCTGAGGCTTCTCTTACAATTAGACAAAGGTAAAGTGCCGTGTTCATCACATCATACCAAGGACACAATAAGGGTCCTATGATATACTTTATCACATTTTATGTATTTTATTTCATTGCTTCATGACAGATCACTAGAAATGGGAATTTTTTAAGTCAAAGAGTATTTTTAAAAGCTAGGATTCTTGAGGAATTTTCCCAAACTGCTTTCCAAAAGTTTCCATTCATTTTCATGCTCACTAACAATGGCTACGTTGCAACTTGTTTCCGTGAATCCTTACCAGCATTCTCTTTGTTCTTTCCCTACTGTTGTGCCCTCATAACCTTGAATAGAAGGTCATAATTGAGGACAGGGAAACGTCACCACATGTTAATGACAGGCTCTTGTTAAGTAAAAAGTATACAGTTGAATCTTCCACACCATGCCGTTGATCTTTCCTTTCAGTTTAACTAACCCTACTCTCTTACACTCATTCCATGGTCCAAATTGGCCTGCTGTTGCTTAGAGAACATCAACAGGTCTTCTTTACGACAGGTACTCTGCATGGGGTGTTATCCCATACTCATCTCCTCTCGTAAAAATACTAGCATACCCCATAAGGGTCGTGTCAAATCCCATTAACATCCTGAAGCCCATTTTAAGTCTCACAAGTAAATAAAATCTCTTCTCTATGTGAACACCTTATACCTTTGTTGAGACATTTTGCTCCCATTTTCTTTTAAAGATCAGATATGTAATTGTACAGTGACTTTTTCCTCAATCTGTACTTCATTAAATAGTAAATAATAACCTAAGAGATATTTCATCCACCTATATTCCCTCTCCCCAAACTAATATTGAACACTTAAGACAGAATATTTTCCAAACATTTTAATTAATTAATTAATTTTAATTAAAGATTTATCTTTATAAAATACATGCTTTATTTAAGACTTTGGATGTTGAGTGTTAGGACTTGTAGATCAAATACATTCTGTTGATTCTCAAAGTGACTTAAAAACTAGCAAAGGAGAAACTGAAGAAATTAATGCACATAATTAAAACTTACAAAAAACCAGTTCTGAACCAATATTGTTTATGACAGAAGTAAAGAAATTTCTTGGCAAGAATTGTTCATTTCCATTTATATTTACAATTTTTAAAGGCACTCTATATTATAAACAAAGTTCTCAAACCTGAATGTTCCTTAGCTTCTCCTAAAGAATTCACTACTTTGCCAAGATCAAAGTAATCAACAGTTTTATTATTTATAACCCTAGCTTCAAGAATGTTGATAAAACTTTAATTCAACAACTTTCTATTATTGAATTAACTCAGGTTTCTTATGATACTCATGGTCTACTATGTAGAACCACTCTATGTATTGTATATGAAGTCAGTTGCTTTAATGTTTAATGTTAGATTTTCTGTTCTGGCAAATGAAAACATACTGTTTATAGAACAGTCAATGAGTATATCTACATCTATTCTTCATGAGAACTAAAAAAATGATAAATAAAGAGATAAGAGGATGAGAGTATACTCCAGATGTGACCTAAAAAGGAAATGCAACTGAACTTTTGAAAATTTCAGGCCTTTGAATAGATTTGCATTCTATACACTAAAAAATTACCATAGATCAATATTACAATTTTCAACCAATATTTCTATGACAAAAAGTTAAAAATACAGCCACGAGCAATTTCTACTAATGTATCTTTCCCTTATTTTTAGTATACTGCTATGTTCTATTATATAAGCCAAAGAACAGCAAACTGCAGCCTGTGGGCCAAATCTTGCCCACTGCCTGTTTTTGTAAATAAAGTTTTACTTGACCACAACCAACCTATTAATTATGTATTATCTTTTGCTGCTTTTACTCCACAGCAGAGTTTGGTAACTGTGACAGAAAGGTGGCCAACTTGTTGGCCAAAAAAGCCTAAAATATTACCATATGACCTGCTACAGAAAAAGTTTGCTGACCCCTGGTATAAGCTTCCAAATATATAACATTGTAAATGTTTAGTTGTACATGATTGACAGTGAAGCACTACTGTTTTAAACTTCCTTAAAAATTACTGCAAAAACTTTTAGTCTCTAGGCCTCAGAGGTCCTCAGACCATGGTAAAAATCTAGCCTAATGTCCTTTTTCCTTTTTAGAAGTATTGAAGTCTGAGTCCTGACACAATGGAAACAAAAGAGTGTAGTCAAGTATTTTCTCAGTTGCTAGGGAAAAGTTTAGTTTTTTAGGTATTTGATAAAGACATAAATTTGGGGGAAAAACTATATATATAATAAAAAATATAATTTTTTATTAAGTTTAACAATTTTTTAAAGAGCTTGGATTTCTACTTACCAGTTAGAGAAATCACAGAAGTCTTTGCTAACCCTGAGACAGAAGTTGTGTATGGTGCTGTAGAACTTTTACTAGAAAAGAACATGATTTAGTTTAAAATACAAGAACATACTTCCTTCAATCACAATCACCTGGC